GGTGGCTGTGTGGTGGCGCGGGGGTGTGGTGTCAGCAGAGATGTGGAAGCAGCCAGTTCAGATCTGGGACAGAAAGGACTACGGCAGCTAGAGCTGTGGACTGCCTCTTGTAACGCCCCTCTCACCTCCAAGCTGACTGTTGTCCACAGCTTTTCTTTGTTCACATGTACAACTCTTAAAGGGAAGGAGGGAGAGAGGAAATACATTTAAACATAAAAGTCAGATCTTAAAAGGCTTATGAGCTCTACCTCAGTACATAACACAACAGGAAAACAAAACAAAACAAGAGGAGTTAGGCAGTAGTGACATGCACTTTTACTCCCAGCACCAAGGAGGCAGAGGCAGGCAGATCTCTGTGAGTTCCAGACCAGCCTGGTCTACAGAGTAAGTTCCAAGATAGCCAGGGCTACACAGAGAAACTCTGTCTTGAAAAACAAAACTAAACACAAAAACAACAGGAATAAGTGGAGAAGGCAGAGGAAGAATCATACCCACAGAGAATGTGATTTTTAAGCAAATGGATTACATGTTGTCCCCTTTAGGGAAGAATATGACAAAGAAATGATACATTAGTTACACAGTTCCCAAGGTTACAGCACAGAGCTGGGTAAGACAAATACAGCTATTTTTCAGATGCTTCAGGAAATGGAAGGGAAGTCATACTCAATGTTGGACACAACAAATGGAATTACAGTTTCTAAGAAACCTTAAGACAGGAAAAATAGCATTTGGCTAAGGCAAGGGGACAGGTGACAGATAGAAAGCAGCCTGGTCCCTGAAAACACAGTAAAAGGCTTCAACTTAGTTGCAGGCAATTGGTGTGTGTGTGCGCACACACGTGCGCGCTCACAAGAGCTGGAATCAACAAAAATGATGAATGAGTAGTTCTATCTAGAGAAAAGAAATGAGATCCTGAGTCAGCAAAAATGCTAAACTCTATTTACTCAAGAAAAGAATAAGTCAACTAACCAACAGAGTGCACCAAACAAAAGGATCCTGAAACACAAGGACACAAGAGGTGACAAGAAGATGGTGACATTTACTACACTAGGTTCTTCAGAAACTGGCATGTTAATATTAGCAGAAACTGGATGACTTTGGCTGCAGAGAAACCATTGTGAATATGCATATGTAATGAGTATCATGACAATCACATGTGGTATTATATTTGGAGCCACCTGCTAAATGTCAAGTCTGGCAGGCAGTGTGGTTCCTGGAGATGAGGGCCACATCTAGCACCTGTGATCTACAAAGACATTTAATAGCTTTTAGACAGTCTGTTTCAATGGTCTGTCCAGGAAATCTGAATTGCTTCATTTGAACTGCAGTTTGGGGAGCTTGCCCATGGCTTTGGCAGCCATGTTAATAAGGAGAAGAGTGGTCAAGGAAGCAGCTAAGGCATCACACCTGAATAATCAGTATCTGACTGTATTGGCAGTCCCTACTGGACAATACTCTGGCTCTACACACTGCATCTCATTATTGAATCCACATAATGACACACTTAAGGTGTAAGTAAGCAGCTAGGCCCAGTGGTACAGGTGTGTAATTCTAACCACTCAGGAGGCTTAGGTCCAAGATCACAGTAGTACAAGGTCTATGTGGGATGAATGGATTCAAGGGTGGCATGAATAACTTAGTGAGACTCTACCTCAACATAAAAATGTGAAAAAGATGGCTAGGGACATGGCTGAGTGGTAGAACACTTGTCTATCATGCATGGGGCCCTAGGTTCAACCCACAGCACTAAGGGAAAAGGGGGGAGAATTAAAAAGAATACAACTGAATTACAACTAGGAAAGATTTTAGATTACTTGAAAATACTGGCAAATTAGGAATTATTGGTATAAATTTATATGGTATTAATGTATAGTGTACTATGTAATATATAGTATACAAAAAAGGATGGGCAGAGGTGGCACACACCTTTAATCCCAGCAGAGGCAGAGGCAGGCAGATCTCTGTGTTCGAGGCCAGCCTGGTCTACAGAACAAGTTCAGGACAGATTCCAAAGCTACAGAAAAACCCTGTCTCAAAAAACAAAAACAAAATACAAAAAGTATTAAGAAGAAATATACATTAAAAACATATGACTGGGTGGTGGTGGTGCACCCTTTAATCCAAGTACTTGGGAGGCAAAGGCAGGAATTTCTGAGTTTGAGGCCAGTCTGGTCTATAGAGTGAGTTTCAGGACAGCCAGGGCTGCACAGAGAAACCCCGTCTCAAAAAAAACCCAACCAACCAACCAACCAACCAACCAAACAAACAAACAAAAAGAGGAGGAGGAGGTGGAGGGGAAGAGGAGGAGGAGGAAGAGGAGGAGGAGAAGGAGAAGGAGGAGAAGGAGGAGGAGGAGAAGGAGGAGGAGGAGGAGGAGGAGGAGGAAGAGGAGGAGAAGGAGGAGGAGGAGAAGAGTAAAAGGACTCTAAATGAAGATATTACGTGATACTATAAGTAACACAAATTTTTAGAGCCAGGTGTTGGTGGTGCACATCTTTAATCCCAGCACTCGGGAGGCAGAGGCAGGCGGATCTCTGTGAGTTTGAGACCAGCCTGATCTACATGAGCTAGTTCCAGGACAGCCTCCAAAGCTACAGAGAAACCCTGTCTCAAGAAATAAAACACAAAACAAAACAAAGTAACACAATTTTTCTAACTCACTAACAATTAAGAATGAGGACAAAGGGCTATATGTTATATTAGAATTTATTTTCCTGTTTCAACTTTTAAAACTGTGGTTACTAAAGTAGGTACACAATTATTTTATAATCCTCCTGCATGGTTAAGTTTAGATAGATCTTGAAAGAATGAGCGATTATAAGTAATGGATCTACTAATTCCATGTGAACATAATAAAGTGATAGTTTATTAATCCAAGTTGTTAAAACCTTGACTAAGAATTCATTGGCTATGTGCATTTTTTTACCTGTATGTCATGGGCCAATTTTTTTTAAAACACTGAGGGGAAAAAGCCTCATTAATTGAAATGCACATGAAATTGTCAAAATAAATTCTGACAAACACTAACTTTTGACAGGGATTTCAGAATAAAGAACAGAGAATACACAAGATTAAATTAATAGATAAGCAAGTGCTAGAACCCCAGGGAATCCCATGGTGATGCCAACAGGTTGTAGAGACTGTAAGCTAAAGATGAGTCCCCGTACCCACCAATACTTTATCTTCAGGTAACATTAGTGAGAAATAACCAATCCCAGAACAGCAAGCAGTATCCTCAAAACATGAACTAAACCAATGCCTGGTCATGGATTCACACCTGAGGGAATGACGGTTTTCTTCTCCTGGTTCTGGTGGTGAGTGTCTCTGGACTCCAGGCTCTATATGAGCCATTAGCCCAGATTGGTGGGCTGGAAACAAGTTTGCTTTTCCTGGTACCATGCAAATAGAAGTGTTCCCAGTTCTCTTCAAATGAAGCAGAAACCAACATGCTGGCTAGCTACAGACAGACACCAAGGGTATACAAGGGAGTTGCTAATAATGTGCACACTCAACCTTCATGGGAATTAAGACTGAAGGTCTTCAACTCTGATTCAGCTCTCTCTTGAGCAACAATAAGACTGGGGGTATGTTTTTCACTGTTGGCCCAACTGCAACAGTATACATAATCTTGAGCTTGGTTATTTTGAAATGATCTGGAGTTCTGTCTTCAGCCATAACAAACATGTACAAGAAAGTTCACTGGTGAGTATTAGTGCTGATATTTATTTTACTTACCTCTTTGACACTGTGTGTTACAGCCCATATTAGAAAAACTCTTGACATCACCTGGAAAGAAGTCAGGACAACAGAAGACGGCACGATTCCTGAAAGAAATTTAGGATGTGTAAATTAATGTACTGTACTAAGTTTTATCACTTAGCATGTTTTCCAAAACTTTCAAATTTAAATGTTTACAGTCAACACCATCTCTAGCAACTGAAGATTACCTATGCTGCTATATATTAAGTCTGGCAATATAGTCATCACTAAAACTGTTTTTCCTGCCTCAAAGCCAAGCCTGTTCATGACAACTGAGGAAGCTGGCTACCTTTCTTAAGTCTTCAGAGTCAGTGATCAACTACAGTATTTTTAATACTTACAGACAAAACAAAACCATCACCCAACCATTAAACAGGGATACTGATGGTTCATTTTCTAATACAGCTTTCATGATGACTAAGCAACTATGAATGGGAAATCAGTCCTACTTTTGTCTAAGGAATGCTGTAAGTTCTTGGATATCAAACTTGAATATCTGTCCAACAAGCTTAGCAAAATCAAAGTTTATTATTTTTTAATTTTATTTATTTATTTTTAAAACACCCACACACTGTAAACATCTTTTTTAAACATTATTTTTATTTTATGTGCATTGGTGTTTTGCCTGTGTGTATGTCTGTGTGAGGTTGTCAGATCTTGGAGCTATGGACAGTTGTGAGCTGCTATGTGGGTGCTGGGAATTGAACCCAGGTCCTCTGGAAGAGCAGCCAATGCTTTTAACCACTGAGCCATCTCTCCAGCCCCCCAAAATTTATTATTTTTAAAACAATTTCTTCTCACCTTGTTCACTGCAAGCATAAGTCTAATTATCCTCTCAATGCACTCAGTTTGTAACATGAGAACATCTTTATTTTAAATAATCATCAAATTCTACTAAGCTTTGGCTTCAAATGCTACAACCATGACCCCTACCTAGACCCAGGCCACATGTAGCATTCTTGTCTCCTTAAACTCCCAAATAAGCCATTATCTGGAAACACTCTTTTCTCTTTGTGACTTCAAACTAACATGGAAATGCTTCTAAAATGAGATTTGGAAGCCAGCAGCCCTTCTGTTTCTCTCTGACCTCAACTACTGCCAATGCCTATTCTTACTTGCTAGACTCCTGGGGTTGAACATGGAAAATTCGGCACCAGTCAGAGTCTGTCTACTTTAAAACCAACCTCATCTTCAGCAACAGTCAGTGGGCAATCCTGAACCATCTCTATTCTTCAGCAGTCACTGGCTATCCTGAACAATTTCAATTCTTCAAGCTCCCTAAAATACAGTCTTCTGAACATTTGTATAGCAGGACAAATTACAACTTGCCAAAGACCAGTTATAAATCAGATGGAGTTACAATTGTCACCACAGGCTTGTTACAATGGGAAATCACTTTACATCTCTTTAAGGGATGCTATATCATGCTAAAAAATGGATTTTTGACAAGAAACATGGGCTTCAAAGAGGGATAGTTTGATTCCTCAAACAAGTATTATGGGAATGTCAAACACAATGTTTGGCATATAGAGGCATGTAGAATGAATGGAAGAAAATATAAATGCAGAGATAGGTAAACACATATTGAGTCCAGACAAGAATTTTCAATAAGAGTATAAGACAATTCAGTAGAAAAATGATTTTATTTTCAATAAACTGGTGCAATTAGGTACTCAGGTATTCACAGGTGAAAATGAAGGACTTAGATATAAAACTTGACTCAGGAGCTGAGGGGATGGCATGATGGTTAAGAATGCTTCCTACTCTTCCAGTTTGATTCTCAGCCCCCATGTTGGGGGGGTTGCCCAGTAAGGTTGTATCTAGGAACCTGACACCTCCACTGGCCTCCTTGGTTACCCACACACATGTGGCATAAATGTACTGACACACATACTATTTTTAAAAACTAAGAAAGAAAATAACTCAAGGCTGGGATGCAACTCAATGTCAGAGCACCTGTCTAGCTAGGCCCTGGGTCTGAGTCCTAGCCAGACTTGTGTGAATGAACACACACACAGACACAGATACACCCACCCACCTCCACACACGGGGGAGGGTAATCAAAACCTTTAGGGCTAGAACCCTAAAACTCAGTAGAAAAATAGGTGTGAATCTTGAAGGTTTGAATCACACAACAGAAAAAAATATATTTGGCTCATAAAACCCAATAGCTTGTGCTTTGAAGAATACTGAAAAGGAAGTGAAAACAGCTGTGTGTTCTGGTTTGGATATAAGGTTTGATGCCCAAAGCAGCAATGTTCAGAGATGAGCTTTGGGAAAGTGGCTGGACCATAACACTATATTTTGCTAAAAGTGCTCTGATCTCATCAATGGGCTAATCCGCTGAAGGGTTCCTTGACAGGTGAAAGACTTCAGGATGTAGGGCCTACCTGAAGGAAATAGATCACTAGGGGCATGCCCTGAGAGGGTACGCATTGTGTTTGGATCTTTTCTTGCTTTTAGTTTTTCCTGAATCCTGCCATCATCAGAGAAATAGCTCCCTTTGTCCCATGCTACCTCTGCAGTGATGCTGCTTTACAGCCCCACAGTGATGCAGCCAACTGACCATGGAATGACAGTGTGGGCCAGAATAACTCTTCAAACACAGTGATGGACACTAACACACCACAGACGGGAAAAGATCTGTCATCTTATCTGACATGAGAAATTTTTACAATTCCATAATGATAAAAACAGCCAAATTAAAAAAAAAAACAGTTAAAAGGTGTGTAAAAAGACACTGAACATCATTAATCATCAGGAGACACAAATCAAAATCAAATAAGATATACTTCACACGATACCTGTTTGGACTGTGAAATGGTACAGCCACTCTGGACAGTTTGTCAGTGCCTCAAAGTATTAAACGGTGAGTTATATCACTCTTACACAGACACACGAGTGCACAGGCCACACACACACACAATTTATGTTCCCACAAAAATTTGTTTATGTATGTTCAGATGGTATATATGAACTAAGACGTGGGAATAAGTGTTTATCAACAGATGAATGGGTAAACAAAATATGGCATATTCTTTTTTTTTTTTTCTTGGTTTTTTGAGACAGGGTTTCTCTGTATTGTTTTGGGGCCTGTCCTGGAACCAGGCTGGCTACAAACTCAGAGAGATCCGCCTGCCTCTGCCTCTGCCTCCCAAGTGCTGGGATTAAAGGCATGTGCCTCCAGCGCCCGGCTAAATATGGTATATTCTTAAAAACAAAGATTAATAAAAATACGGGGCTGAAGAGATGGCTCAGAAGTTAAAATCCCTGGTTGCTCCAGGTTCCATTCCTAGAACCCATATGTCAGCTTACAGCTGTCTGTAACTCCAATTCCAGGGGATCTGATGCCATCTTCTGGTTTCTGTGGGCACCACAGATGCAAGCGATACACAGACACATAGGCAAATGAAACATCTACATACACAAAGTAAATTAATAAAAATTAAAATAAAATAAGAAATGTTTGAAATTCTCAAAGAATTAAAAATGTATCAAAAATGAAAAAATATAAAAAGAAATGAAGTACTGATATATGCCACAATATTGATGAGCCTTCAAGATACTATATTGAATTATAAGAAGTCAATGGCAAAATGCCACACAAATTTATGTGACAGAAAGTAGATCTGTGGTTACCTAGGGCTAGAGTTTTGGGGGAAACAGGAAATGACTGTTAATGGATTTCCTTTTGGAGTAATGAAAATGTTCTAAAATTGACTGTGGTAATGGTTGCACAACTCATACACTCTAAATGGGTGGATTATATCTGAATAAAGAGAAGTTATTAAAAATAAATATGAGTAAAGTGCAAAGCCTGGTTACATAATTACACAACACAGCTAAAGAAGCTACTTAGTGAATCAAACATTTAGATAACAATTGGAGTAAGTTTTACAAGAGCTGGAGACTTAGATTTTTATGAGCAGTAAGCATTTGTTGCTTAAGGAAAGATGAACATCTCACACCGCTGCTGCTTCCTCCTGCTCTTTAACTTTTGCCCGTCTTCCCCAGCCACTGAATAGTGTGCTGTGCCGCTGAGCTGCTGGTGTTTCTGGAAATGTTCCCGGATGCTGTTGTGTTTTCATGAGGTTCAGAGTCTGGACTTCAGAGTTGTAAGCTCAAAACTGAGTCTATCTCATTCACTAGCGAGAATCCAGTGCTGGGAAACTGACTTATTACATTAATCAAGCCATGCAAATTACCGTAATAATCCAAATAATTCATTTGTTCATCTGTAATAGTGGTACAGCTTTCTAACAAACAAATAACAAGGATTGTAGAGACCCTCATCTGTTGCCAAAATCAGAATGCTTATAAGTGTGACTTTAAATGAAGAGACTGGAAGACAGTGCAACTCAGCTGAGCACTGGAATCCTCTCTTCCCACCTACCAATGGAATCTGGGGCCTTGTGCAGGCTGGGCAGGCATTCTACCACTGAGGTATATTCATGGACACAAAGGATTCTTTTATTTTACTTTTAACATTTCTTTATTTTATGTGTATAAATGTTTTACCTGCACATCTGTTGTATGTGCACCACACGTGTGCCTGGTGTCTGAGGTAGTGAGAAGTGGAGGATCCCCTGAAACTGAAGTATGGATGGTTGTGAGCTGGGAACTGGACCCTGGCCTTCTGCAAAAACAAAGTTCTTAACTGCTAAGCCACTTCTCCAGTCTCCAACAAGGGGCTCTTTGTGTTTTTGGAGATAGGGTTTTTCTATGTAGTCCTGGCTGCCCTGGAACTTGCTATGTAGACCAGGCTGGCCCTGAACTCAACTCACAGAGACCTGCCTGCTGAAACTAAATGCCACCATGTCTGGTCCAACAGGGATTCTTAGTCACCCCTTCTTCACCATAAAGCACCCTTTTCTAAGTAATAAAGAGTATTTATATTTGTTTTCCTTTCAAAAATGCTAAATAAAAAATAGCAGAAAGTTTTCCTTAGAAACAGAATTTGAAATCCAAAAACAATGATTTGTTCTTTTCTTTTATCTTTACTTTTAAAATGTATTTGTTATCATTGTGTGTGTATGGTGTGATGTGATGTGTGTGTCACAACATT